ATAATACACTTTTCTTTCAGAACTTCATTTCTATGATTTTCTATATATAATAAAGATATCCTAACAATTTATCCTCCTATTCCAATTTAACAATATATTTTTCTTACAGAACTTCGATACTACGATTTTAAATATGAAAATAAAATATATATAATAAAGATATCCTAACAATTTATCCTCCTATTGCAATTTAATAATATACTTTTCTTACAGAGCTTCATTGTATGTTTGAAAAATGTACCTTTTTATCGCATGTTAGCTTTAATTAATTCTAAGATCGAAAACTGTACCGAGTATGAAGTGAGCGTGAACGAGTGTCTTAACTTTAAGTAGTTCGTAAGATAAAATAAGTTAGCATAAGACAATAGAAAATATTCTATTCATCCGCCGATGGACGTCGTGGGACGCGTGCGTTTTAACTTTAAATAATTTATCAAATAAAGCAACTAATTCTAAGATAGAAAAATTGTATTGAATACCATGTGCGCGCTCTCTTACAGAGATACGCGACTCATTCGTAGCATAATTAATAAAATACCATCTACATTTTCAACATCTTATTAAGGAAGAGTACGAAATTTTTAGAGTTTAAATATTGCATTGGGAATGAGAAAATGATTAGAGTTGCGATTTAAAGTGAAATACAAGACACTCTTTTTGATAAAAGTATCTATTTCCTTTGCTACGAATGAGAATCGCGTATCTCTGAAGATAGAGAGCTGCCAGTAGGGCATGTGTTTTTGTCGGGTCCCTTGCGTAGTCACCTCCTCGTGGTGGGACCTGGTAATTGGTATCCTTTTCCAAAGAAAATTCTCACTTTTGCAAAAGGATACCAAGCTAAGAACTACGCGTACCCGTCGACACTCTGATTCTCACACACAGTCGAAAGTTTTAACTTTAAGTAGTTCGTAAGATAAAGTTAGTTAATTCTAAGATAGAAAATTGAACACTATGTGCGCGTTTCTTAATAAAATACCTTGAAAAATTATTCAGATACTATGTTAGATATGAGAGTTCCATTTAACATCAAATTTTAACATCGATCTGTCAATAGCAAATTAGCAATCAATTGCCTACGAAACACAAAGAAGAATTTCTTCAATTTTCTGATATAAAATTTCACAAGAAGTAGCAGTAAAGGAAGATTAAATAAGAAATGCAATTCTGTGACAAATTTTTCCCAAACAGTGTTTTTAATATGTTACACAATAAAAAGTTACATTACGTGGTAAGATACTGTATCTCATCTTATATATTTTACTTTTCAAACATTTGTATCAGACTTTTCTGCGATTTTTCAATTGCATTACGCATTATTGCAATAATTTCTATCGTTACATTTAATTCTAATTGTTTAGCAGCTTTTCTGCTGCTATCGACTCTACATTTTACTGACACTTGTGGAGTCGACCCTACATTTTTTTTTTTTTTTTTACCTGGAGGTAGGCCGCCTCTATGTGATAAACAATTGGCAACCAAACGGTGGCTCGCTAAAGCGATATATTATGAAATTAAATTAATCACTCAATAAGTTTTAACGTTAGATTGTTTCCTCGATATGGCCATGGTGGTCATCAGTGACTGGAGTGCCTCAAATGTTTAGAATAATTAAAATAAAATAAATGTTGTCAACTAAAAATTTTGAACGTCATAGCTAGCTAGACATTATTTTCAATTGAAAAAAAAAATTATAAAGCATAATCCTATAATCCTATGCTTAAAATGTATTTTCTTGTGGCCGCCTGACAGCAACCTGTAAATCTGGCGCGACAGTGAACGTGTTAATAAGTAAATGTTGTTCAAATTATATTGTGTTTCATATCATTTTCATCAGAGAAATCTCACCAACATGTTAAAAAAAATTCCAAATGAAAAAAAGTAAAATTAAAGAAATTATATTTTTCTATTATGATATGTAGAGCCGTGAAATCTCGTCAAGGAAACCGACTGGTGTAGCGTTACACGTTTGACTGGCTGTGAGCGAGATAATATGGGCGCACCAATGACGCAGACCTAGGCGTAGGACCATCTATACTGTCACTTGTAGAATCCAAACTTACTGACTCTTGTAGAGAATTTACTGTATATCGAAACGATTAATTGTTTACTTTCTTTTGAAATGTATCTAATTAAAGTATTTTTGTATAAAAATAAAAAGGTATACATATCTACATATACCTAAATCAAAAATACTTTAAAACAATGTTAAAGAAAATTATCGATGCACCTAAAGAGTTCAAATAAAGCGCTCACCTCAATTGTCATATTTTCTCCCTTGATAATACTGTATTTATTATACTGATCAACGAAGCAGCCTGCTCTCTTATTGTAGGCATTTGCCATCGCAGTCAACCACTCCATTTCATTCCCCTCCATGTCGAAAAGATGACCTAACATCGATTAGTTTATTAAACAGTGTTCGTTATTTTTCGAATTACAATTAGTAATACAGATATCTTATCGGTAATTCACCTGAATCGTCGAATCCGTGGTTCACTTCGTGGCCCATGACAAGTCCAATAATACCGAAATTCACGTACCTGAGGTATGAAATTTTGCATAATTTTTGAGAAAGTGTACATCTCAGAACTTTTTTTTTAAAAGATCGATTATTTACCATGTTCGATTAGGAGAAAAGAACGGGCTTTGAAGGTCCGCCGCGGTGATTGCTGTGTTTAAAGAAAATGGTTAATTTTCAGTTATTGATAGCTATTCGCATCGAACGAAGAAATTGGAAGTTTCTGTTCTAAACTATATTAAAGTTTCTCTTAATGTACATACATATAGAATTTTCATACGGTATGAAGAAAGCATTCAATTCCAGAGGATTCATAGCACTGTAAGCAATTAAAAATATGAAATTTCGTTCTGAGTCATCTTGCTAGCACGAGAAAACGAGTATCTTACTCAGAATAATCCTCTTCATTATCCTCCACTATTTCCCGCAAGCCTTGCCATTTAATATATCTAATATAGTTGAGAATGTTCTCGTAGAAAGAAGGGCCAATTGTGAGCTTCGAACGAAAAGAGTATTCGTTAGTGTGAAATTGTAGTTGACGATTCACTTGTTACAGTTAAGATCGAGATTGTCGGTGCTTAACAGACAAATTATAATTATTAACAGTTGCACTATTAAAAGGAAACTTACTCCCCGGAAGTAGCGTTTTGCAAGTGTAGTGTTTCGATACCATTCTGGACTGCCGATCCAATTCTTCATATGCACCAATTTATCTAAAACAAAATGTTTCGTATCGTCGTCCATCCACGTGGATTCCTTGATCTGATACTCGACTTCCTTTTGTATGTCATCGATCATATCTCTGGCCTTTAACGATAACGAATAATATTTACGAATTGATAAAAATTTGTAAACCATAGTTAAGGAACGTTGATTCGTATTAAATAGTAAAGGTACGTAACGGAACACAGTTTATGGCTTGCTCAAAGTTAGCAAAAATAAGCTTCGAGAATTTAATCCTAGACATTTCCATCGATTGCTTTAAATTAAAAACCTCAATTGTCGAAAATTACTGTACGACGCTCACGATCACGTAAACGCCCCTCGAATACAACGCTACCATAAACCATGGACCGAAATCCTTAGAGACGTGAACAGGACACGCGCGATTCCTGGGAGAAACCAGAAAATTTCCAATTCCTTGCCAGGAGAGATGTTCAGACGGAGCTTCTAAGATTTGCCAATGCAAAGTGAATTAGCCAATGCAAGCTCCATCCTCAAAATCGTTACGCCAGATTTTTTAACATCTGAATGACGTGTACAAAGAAATGATTTCTTACCGATTTCGCTACCTCGGGCGGCAAATATTTCCTAACATACTCGTACCCTGCTATATGAGTCAGTTCCACCAATTCTATACATACCGCGTCTCTATAAAAGTGTCAGTTAAGTTTGAATCATTTCTTTCAATTATCTATAACACGAAAATCGTATTACATACCTGGACCCGAACGGATTTCTTCCGCTCCATTGTTCTGTTAATTCTATTAATTCTTCCGGGCCAGCTATTACTATTTTACTAAGGAAGTTCCAATGAATATAGTTAACTGTAACGAAGCACCAGGTTATGTACTTGATTAAACGAGATAGAAATACCTTCGATATCGATCAACTCACCGAGTGTTTTCGTTGGTGTTTCTTCCAGCAAAGTGTGAAGCTTTTCTATATAGTTTACAGCTGTTACAGTAATTTCCACGTCGTTATCGATTTCCACTCCAGCCTCGGAAAATAGTTTATCCACTTTTCTTATCCAATTTATCTAAATATTCATCGATTATACAAATATTCATTTCTACATGTGTTTATTTTCTATTTAAAGAAAATATCTTACTCTGTTCTTGCTTGTAACAGGTCCCAAATCTTTATAATAGTTTTGGAATTCATTGAGCGTTGTATTCGTAAGTTCATCATCATAATCAAGCGTGAGCTGAAGAAAATTTATCAAATTCAGTTAAATTCTAAAATATTGGTATGAAATGTCTCGATTCAGTTTTTGCCAGGGTATAATGTAGAAAAACTGAAAAAAATAAATTTTCTGTACCTCTCCTATTTTGATTGTAAATTCAACAAGATCATTGACATCTTGCTCCAATTTCTCTCTCGATATGTCAATTCCTCTCCCTTCAATAAGTATTAACGAGACATTAAGTATGTATTCCTTATATTGTTGTCTCAATTCTTCTAAATCTTCTTCTTCCTCGTCGTCATCATCGTCGTCGTCGTCATCGTCATCATTACCACTTCCTTCATCACTATCGTTGTCATCATCATCGTCGTTATCATCGTAATCATTACCACTTCCTTCACCACCGTCGTTATCGTTATCACTGTTGTCATTTTCTTCATTGTCAATATAAATACTGTCAGGTGTTTCATAGTCATCATTGTTTTCCTCGTTGTTATCGTCATATTCATTTGCATCATCATTGCTGACATCTATATCATTATACTCAGGTTCGTTACTGTCTGCCAGCACCTTTCTACGTTTTGAAACGCTCATTTTGCTCGCGAAGCGATGAACCCTATGATTGGCAGTTTTCTGTCGCTTGTGAGATTCAATGGTATGAAGTTTTCCTTTCGTTTCAGTTCTGCTCGATTTCTTCTTCATCTTCTTTTCATGGGTACGTTTTTCCAGTACTTTGTTCTTATTACTCTTCCTTTCACCGTGACCCAGTTGCTTAGCATTCTTCCTTCTAGCTATTTTCTTCTTGTGCAGCTCTTCTTTGTGTTCACGTTCACTCTTTTCAATCCTCTTCCTCTTACCATTATTCTTCTTCTTCTTAATGTGATTTACGTTTGATTTTTCCTTATTCATTCCCAAATTACTCCTCTTCCTGGATAATTTCAGACCTGGATAATGCGTATGTTTTGACAATTTTCCTTTAGCTCTATGATGAAGCTTACGTTTGTTAGCTTTCTTCAATTGATGCAACATTCTATGAAGAACTTTCTTCCTCATAACTTCCCTTCTAGTTCTCCTCCTCGTTTTCACTTTAGCAACATGTCTAGTTGTCATTTTCTTCTTGCTATGTCTCCTTCCATGGTGGCCTAATCTTTTGTGATTCCTTTTACCAACTGCCTTCCTATTTCGCAGTTCCTCTTCTTCTTCTTCGTACTCGACAGAATACCAGTCATTGTCTTCACCCTCTTCATTTTCATCCTCGCCTTCTTCACTCTCCCGTCGTTTTTCCTTGCTTCCTTTTTCCTGACTACCTTCTCCGCTTTCGTTGTTTTCATCACTGCTATCCGCATTCAAAATACTTTCTAACGAAAGAATCTGGTATACGCCAAGTGGTAAATGAGGCGTTTCAATCTGAAACAAATTGTCGTAGCAAATTGTTGTCGTTGATTCTAATTAGGGCTCTTACTGTTGCTCGGATATCCGAATTTTGAGTATCCGAGTACTCGGATATTTAATTAGATCGGATAGTAATTTGGATTCGTATATCCGGATAAATCCGAACCTAATTTTCGTATTCTTTAATCTTAATCCTTTACCTAAACCTGCTTCCTTCAATCAATAAATTCAGGTAAGAAAAGCTTCATGTTTGAGTAATTGTCAAAAAGAATCCGAATCTAGATACTTGAATACTCGAACACAAGTTCGGATTATAGCGAGTATTGTGAGTACTCGGATATCCGGATAGTAAGAGCTCTAATTCTGATAGAACAGATTCATGTAGACTGTGATTGTACCAATATTGTTTTGTTATCTTCGTATAATAAACTGTCGTAACGTAAGTCATGAAAAGCGTTAAATCCCATCAAACGAGCGTATTGATCGTCAACTATTTGCCAGTTGTATATGTCTTCATCCCATTCCCCATCTTCCATGATTAGTGGCCATCCTCCGTGTCTCCATAGAGTGGACAATATCGGTTCCACTCCTCTTCTATTAATGCCATCTATAAGGTACATGTTTCGTTCATAATGATATCTGATTTTGATCACATTTCAAATTATAATTAAATCGAAAGTACGTAATGAAATATTAAGGAAGATAATAATTAAAGTCGACTTCTGTAGGTACGTTTATCAATGACACTTGAAGGCTCACCTAAATCCGTGCAACTTTTATACCATTTCTTAGCAAGTTTTACGGCGAAGAAATCGTCAGATTTCGGTTCAGACTTGATTATTTCTGGAAAAACAGATGACAAATTGTGAAAATAATATCAAAGTGCAATCAGCTGTAAAGGACAAGAAGACTCCGCATAGGTGATCAAGGATAAAACAAATTGTAAGGCAATAAAGATTTAGAAAGAAAGAGAAAAAACATATTTACATAGAAGAATATAAATTACATATACGTTGACTACGTTATAAATATCATATTATAAAATAATTAATAAGGCAAAAGAATGTACGTTATGTCAAGTTAAAAGAATAGTATGTTAAGAGAAATTAGATATAAGGATCCAACTTACAAATAAATTTATTATTACATCGTTTCCATTGCTTTATGGTTATTTAAATTAAAGATATAAAACATCCTCTCAGTGTAGAAGTTAGAATAAATGAATGTTTATGTGAAAAAACGAACCTTTAACTTGATTAATGACTTTCTTCGATACCATAGTCCACAAACTCCACGAGGTCATATTTTCAGGAACAGGATTCACCTTCGACCAATTTCCACACGCGTACTCGTAGAAATCGTCACATGGATCCACGGTCTCGTCCATACTTTCCTTGATCACTTTTGCTACATTGCAAACGTAAAGAAATATACGGTTCGATAATTATCTATTTTCAAATATAAAAATAATATGTCAACTACATTTACTTTAAAGAAAGAAGCACTGAAAAGTAAAAAAAAAAAAAATAGTGAAAATAAAATTAGAGAATTTAATTTCTCCACAAAATTAAATTGAAAAATAAATGATCCGTGGAAATCTTTAAATGTAATATAACCATCTTACACTGTGACGTTAAATATAAAAATTTTCACAACAGTTTAACTTTGTTCTAATTTGTTTTCACGTGAACATTAAAAATCACTTATTTCATACAAGAGGAACGATTCGTCTCGCGATAACTATTACCCACCAATTAGATTGCATTCTTCAGTTTTACATACTTCACGTTCTTCTCCCTTCTCTTTAACATCGGCTTCCCGTTTCGCGCCAAATAAACGTTGCAAGCCACGAGGGTAGTTGAGCGCTAAGCTTGGTAGTAAACTAGCGCTAATAGCAGCGCACAAAGACGCTCTAGAAGTAATTTTTGCAGAATTAACGCGAGGAATGACGATTTAATAAAAGTTCATTTAACGAAGATTTTTTTTACTTACAAAATTAACAGACGTAAGAGTAACATTCCGCCAACGTGGCTGGAGCCAAACTTCGTTTGGAATAGAAGTTAGGCTTCCGATGTCACATCCGCTCTTTCTCTTCCAACAATGTACAAGTGAGACGTTGAGCGTGAATTTTATACCATTGGAAGAGAAATAGCCATGAAATTATTTCTGATTACGTTTCGATTAGATTTTCCAACATATTTCTCGCTTCGAATCAAATAGAAAAATTCAGCATCCTTTGCCCTTGCGATTCTGCAGATGCAGTATTTTTAGTATCGCATCCAGGAAACTTCATTCATATTCACATTCCGTTTGTTTCCGTTTGGTACGAATGATTACGTATGTACAGATATGATTACATATACGATACGGTAAATTTCTGTACCATTTCACGCGAGTAGCTGTATGCAGGCCTTTTTTTTGTCCATTGTGAAAAGGATAAATTCAAAAGTCGCTACTTTTGTTCATTATACAACATGTATGTACGTTCCTTTGTGTTAGATAAGTTTCAGTATTTATTATTGCTAAGAGGGGAAGTTCGTTAAGTCGAAAATTCAAAGGAAATTTGAAACTTTGCAGAAATGACGTTGATTACAGAATAATTTTTTGCTTCGGCAAAGAAACGGTGGTAAGGGGTGAAAACATCCCCTCGAAGCAATCGTGAGTTTTCGTATTGCAGTGAATATTTACAAAAGCATAGCAAGGTATGGAAAAAAAGTTCAATTCAAAGTTGCGCGGTCTCTGATGTCCTACATTGTGATTGTAAAGAATTTTCAAGAAACACTATTTTTTTTCTCAAAATTTACTCCCACCGCTATTGGTTTTTTTTTTTAAAGAAAAATAATGTTTCTGTATGATGTTGGAAAAATAAAGGAGATATTGGTTCGGTGGTTCGGACAGCTTGTATAGTATCAAATATTTTCTTACCGATCATGTCAAAAGCACCAAGGATACGATCGGGAACAGAGTGAAATAAAATAACACGTCAATTTCATTCTGCATTTATGCTGACATCAGTGTACACGAATTAATTAATGAACAGAAATATAACATATGTATTAGAACTTGTATATTTGAATGTTGAAAAGCACCGGTGATCCATTTGTGCATCCATCCTTCTCATTTCCACATGTTTCACCTCTTTTTAGTCTATGGTAAAGTTACTGGAGCACTTGAAAGCATTGTCAAACTCGTCATTCCACGACGCTTCAAACATGTACGGATCACAACCCCCTAACTGTGAATTTTAAGAGGCATACGTATAGGAAAGATGTCATATCTCACCGATTTCTTTGTTATCAATGAAATATAAACAATATCTGACGGTGAACGTGTGAAATAGATGTGCAGTGGGAAATATAAACAAAGGATATCCAAATTACGTCCTATTTTGTGCGATCAGAAATATTGAAATTTACTTTAGCTGATTATAATATAACAATGCAGTTTTATTTTCTATCTTTGCATTCTTCTAAGAGTAGGATTATCGTAGAATATTCTACATTCATTTGATGGACATTTATTATAAAGGTTAAATCGACACTTATAAATAAATCAGTCATGTTTCGTGTAAATCGTACGATCGTAAGGTTTCTTAAATCATTACCGATGCAAAGCCTTCCACTGAAGAAGATATGATTTCTACTAATAAAGATTCATACTTTCTCTGCAATGAATCACACATGGAAGACATAATTCGGTGCATGAAATGCAAAATATGGGTTCACGAAACTTGCTATATTACTGTACACAACTTACTATATTCAAAGAGGATCATTGAGTGATATTAAGTTCGTTAGTCAATAAATACTAATACGAATATTTCATAATTATTATCATCTCAGGGAAGAAATTAGTGTTGCTTTTCATAATAATAAAACAAAATAAAAAATTAACTTACAATGCCGAAGAATAAGAAGAACAGTTGCTCGTCACTCAAATACTCCAATCCTGGTAACGCTGCATCTAATTCATAGTAGGGACCGAATAATTTAAGTAGTTTGTAAATACTGAAAATAATTTTCAAGCCTTTCATATCCAGATCGAAGTAGTCATCTCTGATATAATCCTATAATATTGAGTACATATTACTGAACGTGTTATTAAACGATTTACGCGTAATTGAGTAATATTCTTTGAAATAGATCACTAATGGTTGCTCGATGCATCATTTATTTTCGTCAAAATTAAACATATTCTCCCTACATTGCAATTCGTGATTTTCATCGGGACATTGTTCATTTCTGATTTATTAAACAAGGTATAAGAAATCTCTGACTAAAAAAAAAAAAATAATACGACTAGGAACAACTCGACACTAAATAGATCAAATTAGATAGAAATTTGTTTGCGATTTTTTAAAGTTCAGCGGATCGTTTTAACGGTGTACCATTAATTCGAACAAAATCAGAATATAAAGTGTGAAAATCGAAGTGTAAAGAAAATGTAAATATTCTTGATTGAAAGTGTCAGAATCAGTTGAGAGATACTTGTAAGTAACATTGTGTTAAGTGGAACAGGTAGAGAAGCAAATGAATACGAAGTAGCAAAAATTTCATACTTTTTCTATGAAATACTGCGGTGGGGTATCTATGAAACAGGTTATATGGTTCGCTTCCTTTATTAGAACCTTCCACCATGCCGGTTCTTCCCGCTTGTTATACAAGTTACCTAAAAATCATCATATACGCGTCAATGTTGTTGTGAAAAGCAAAAATTGTAATTGAAAATATTTCACAATAGTTCACCCATAGTTATACAGTCGTGTTGATACATGAGGCGTCCGATAATGGCATAGTTACGATACCTGAATAATAAAAATACCACTATGTAAAATGAAACGAACTAACTTCGATGGTAACGTTATTTCAACCTTTACTAAAGCAGAACGATATACTGCAAATACTAATTTGTTACGTACATAGGCTGATAAGGAGTAAAAACGGGTTTTCCGACATCTATTCCTTCTGTAACGATAAAGCACGGTATTCTGAATATTGCTAGTTTGAAGTTTTAATCACCGATTGATAAATGAAATTTTAATTACCGATGCCGAAAAAGGTATGTACCGCCGAAAGATCGATCCTAACTCTGTGAAAAGAAGAAATCTTCTGATTACTTCAGCTCTAAATAGATCTTACTGTCTGTGTAAAAACTCACTCTTCGGGAATTTCTCCTGTGAAGAGAACATTTAGGTTTTGATATTTGAAATATCTCATCGTGCTTAATACATTCTCGTAATGTATGTTGCTAACGCTGAGCTAAAAAAACCAAATGGTTACAGAATTAGCTTGAACGCAAGCTATTTCTTTCGAGATATGAAAATGAAAAAGAAGTAAGAAATGAAACGAAGAATCAGAAACTTACACCTTTGTAGAAATCCTTTGCGACATACGTGTTTCGATATAAATCCGGATACCCGGTCACACTTTTCATGGACTCTAGTTTATGCAAAATTACACGTTCAATCATATCTCTATTCGGTCTTAGCGCACTCCCGAGTATGGCTTGTATGTCATCAATTACACCATAGAACTTTGGTGATCGCATAAAAAGGATTGTAATACATTCGACAGTGATATTATATTATGCTATCCTACGGTTATGAATAATATATCGAAGTTTTTCTTTTTACCTGTTCCAATGTTGTTTCCGGGAAATATCGTCGTATGTATTCATATCCTACAAGGAATTCTGCTTGTATTTCTCTGACACATTCTCTTGTCCTACAACAGAACTATCGTGATAGTCTTTCATTGCCTTCTTGTATATAGAATTCATGTGAAATTACCTGTTTACTGTTTCCGGTTCTACATCATGCCAATTATAGTGTAATGCTCTCATTTCTTTCGTGGTAGCTTTTATCGCTCTACTGACGAAATTCCAATGTATGTAATTCACTATATGAAATCGTTTGCATATATAGATTCTTTATTAAATATTTATCTGTCATATTATAAATAGAACACATTCGTGCATACCAATTGTTCTACTTGGTGTAATATCTAATAATTCTTGAAGAGATAACGTATAACGAGGATTTGAAATCAATACAGTTGTTTTCCTATCAATCTCCATTCCTCCACTGGCGAAATGATCTTGTACTTTCTTTATCCAATTTATCTGGAAATATTTTGCATTTTTAATCATTTTCAATCGAACTTGCTTGCTTTCGTTTAACAGAACGACACATTTCTTACTTTTCCGTTACTTGTTCTAGGTTCCATGGAATCGTATAACGCTTGAAATTCTTCCAGTGAGATTTTAATGCTTTTCCCATATTTCAATACAAGCTGTACAGATAAACGTTATTATGTATATATATTTATAATACAGTGGAACTTCGATAACTCGAAAACCTCTATAAGACGAAAATTTTCTTCATCCCCTTTCCGCTCCGCTGTAAAGACTTGTACAACTCGAAATAAAACTTCCGTTAACTGGAATTCAGAAGAACTCCGACCTCTACAAGTCGAACTTAATTTCTACATATCGGTCGATCGATCCAATAGGATCAACGGTTTATTTCTTTACAGAGCAGTTTGCTGCGAATGATCGAAGGAGAATAAGTTAAAGCACAGTTCTATCCTTTCTCATTCTTTTCCCCGGATTGTACGTGACAAAATGAATTCTAAAGCGCAAGCGAGAAACGTTAACATTTGGCTGATAAAATCAACGTAAATGAAACAGTACCGAGAACTCGGTAATCTACCTCTATAACTCGATGACTTCTTCCCTTCCATTGAGGTTCGAGTCATCGATGTTCCACTTGTAGTATCTAATTTAACAATCGAAACACTCGATGGACATTTCAATTTCTTAAGAAGCTGCCAATACTAAAATTCTCCCATTACCTCTTTAAGGTCTAATTGAAATCCAATTAAGTCTATGGCATCTTTCCTGAGCCTCTCTATTGATATTGGAACACCTCTAGCTTCAGAAAGCGCTATGGTAACATTTAGCATGTGTACTAAATATTGTGTTCGCGTATGTAAAAATATTTCCTCTAACCATTTCATGTATGCATTGTTAGTATCATAGTCGTACAATTCATGGTCACCGCTGCCGCTACCATCATAGTCGTACAATTCATGGTTACCGCTACCATCATAGTCGTACAATTCATGGTCACCGCTACCGCTACCATCATAGTCGTACAATTCATGGTCACCGCTACCGCTACCATCATAGTCGTACAATTCATGGTCACCGCTACCGCTACCATCATAGTCGTACAATTCATGGTCACCGCTACCGCTAACAAAATAGATGTACCATTCATGGTCACCGCTACCGCTACTTTTTTTGTCGTACAATTCAAAATCATCGTTATCATTTTCGTTATCACTGATATTACCATTTTCTTCATCGTTTTCATCATTGTTCCCGTTAACGTTGCCTTCTATCTTGTTGTCATTGTTCCTTACACCTTCGTTGTCAGAATCGTTGAAAAAGAAATCGTAATTTATCTCTTTATTCTTTTCGTCATTTTTCAATTTTCTAGATTTTTTAACACTACCAGGTTTAGACATTCTCTTATATTTCGACGATCTTTTCCTTGCTTTATTCTCGAAAATTCTTTTGTTAGGAAGACTTTGTTTGTATTTATTCAATACGGTCTTTATACTTGGAATTTTATACATAGTATTTGGCGGTATCTGCGGAGTATCGATCTGAAATATAGGGTAACATTATTCTTTATCAAGAATATCTGGTTTCAACAAGCATAGCATACTTACGATTAGATTTACATGACCGAGGTCCCAGTTGTTCATGTCGACATGTACGTCGAAGAAACTATTTAGTCCCGTCAAATGAGCATAGTAATCGTCTACTCTTTGCCATTTGTACATATATTCGTCCCATTCGCCTTCTTCCATTATTAATGGCCATCCGCCTGCTCTCCACAACGTTGATATAAGTGGCTGAAGTCCAAATTTCTCCATTTCGTCTGTAAATTAATCGTATAATGTCGCTCATAGTAGGGTATACCCATGTTTTCTAGATAATTATATTTTATAGACAAAATAAATCTACAATCAAATCTGTAATTTTCTAGATAAAATGCTTTATCTAGAAAATTATATAATACATTAAAGCAATAATACTTCGTTCGATTAATATTAAATTCGTTATACGCAAACGTTATTAAGATTTATAAAAAATATTTCAAAGTATTTCTAATCTACAATTTTACAGATAAAATATTGAATTATTTCATCTGCGAAACATTTTACAGTATTCCTATTTTTCATAGATAATTATATTTTAAAGATGAAATATCTTTCTATTGATTTTAATCACATTTGCATATAACGAAATTGAACGAACTATTATCGAAAAGAAAATTTGCCTCAGATAATAACCTGTATTCGTGCATGCTTGAAATGCCCGTTTGGCTATTCTCATGGAATGGAAATCTTCAGGTTTTATCTCTTCTCGTAGGATAGCTGTAAATGAGTTACACTGAATTTAAACCACGTTACCCTCTCATCTGTACATTTTGTAATTTTCTAAGTATTATTTATTGCCGAAACGAGAATGTACGTAACAAATTGTATTTTAGGTATAAAAGCAGACGATGTAACACAGAGCGGATCGAATTTTTCATGTTTCTCGTCAGATGGAAAATTTATTAAGCGAGAGAAATGAACAGTACTTTCAAGTAGATCTTCGACTTGAATACCAAATGTATTCCATGGTATTTCATGCTCAGGAAGACTCTTGTTCGAATTGCCGCACATGTAATCCAGAAAATTTTCACATGGATCCGCGTTTCGATTCATGCTTCCTCCTATTTCATCGGCTGTTAAGTAATAGAAAAATGTTTACGTATAATTGCAACGTTAAATCAATTTTCACATTACAATGTTCGTATTATGTTACAAAGAGAACGTTCAACCCTTTCGTGAGCAAAGTATTTGCAAGAATTCACGATTTATCTAGCGATCGTCGCGTCTTTAATGGATATTAAATGTAGATCAATTTTTGTTTGACTTTGTCCGTTTCGCGTGTCTCTGGTCGCGAAAGGGTTAAGTAGTAGGAAATTTAAGTAGAAAGTAAAATATATAAATAAAGGAAAATTAATATTGTAAAAATTCTTTACCAAGATCTTTGCATTCTCGAGTTTCACAAACATCTTGTTCTATTAGAGGTTTTACAGTAAGCGGTTCTACGATGTAACTACCGTCCGGTCTACCGCTGGTACCGATAACAACGGTGCCAAAAAGAACACTATAAGAATTGTTATAAAATCACAATCGACAAATTACGATGTATTATCAAGTCGTAGCTTATTTAAATAGTTTATTTCAATGATAAAATCATCTTTTACCGTAGCGGTCACTTACAAAGCACTTATGACTCGCATGATTTTTACGACGAAATATTGTAGAGGAGAAACTGTAAAAAGCTGAATCACTCGTACAATACCTAGCCTTCCGATTTATAAAGTGCACAGCCTATTGCAGTTCATGGCGATTTCATATTTACTTCAAATGGAGAAACCCTGAAGCTATTGATGATAAGCACTGATAATAAACTAGTACTAGTATACAGATAATACTGCACATAGCAATACTGCACGTTGCGGTGAGATTTCGTTAAAAGGTACATGTGTACGTACAGTTCGATAATTTTAATCCCAGAAAGTATAAAGGATCGAAGATTGTCGTCTGGAAGCAAAACGTAATAATATCGAAATATGTTAGTTAGAAGACACTATATTTATGTATATACACTCATAAAAATACAATTACAATTAGAACTTCTCTTTGTGCTCTCTAATCGAACAGAATCATTTCACATTTTATATTAGCGATAAGAACAAACTTTTATCGGACGTGTTGCATTTAAAAAAATATTGCTTCCAAGAAAGTAGCGTAGACAATATGTCGATTTTCTTTAGATTAGAAGTGATATCTGTTGAATTCGATAAAACATTAAATTGTCCGGAAATTAATAGTTATTGCGACGAGTAAGTTTTCCAAAGCTCTCCCAGGGTTTCCTCGGAAACTGTTGGACCGATTACTTTCCCCTTTATTCTGCATACTCGGAACATCTATCGTTATCGTTACAATCAAAATCAGGTGAATATTTTGGAAACTTCGCTCTTTTTTACACCTAAAACTTAGGAAAACCGTAGGAAAAAGCGTATTTTTGACGTTAACCGATTGTCGTTATGTAGAGAAATCTTCTAACTATATGTCGATCGTTGGGGCGATGAAGACACTCGACAGGTTTTGAAAAATCCTCGGTTCAATTTTTTCTGGGCGATAGAAAAGCCGTCAGCCTTGAGACAACTTAGCAAGGATGTTCGCACGCCACGGCATACGACTCTGAATGTTGCAAACAGTCTTTATCGCTGATATTACACCGACGAAAGATGAATAAAATTGTACACAAAGTGCCAATATCGTGATTTCTCTTGTCACCTAGAAAAGAAATCGCGGAACCGGGTGAAAAATTGATCTCTTTAACCCTTTCATTACTATTGGCGCCTAATTTGCTCGCACTATACTGTTACAGCCTTTCGGTGCACTTCCACCTTAATTTAATACTTGATTTCATCCTTTACGCGCTTTCACCTGAATTTAATAAACCGAATTTCAGAACGACACGGCCAGAGTAACAAATTTTTCCAGCCGTGGATTACATTTTACCGCCAATCGCACACGTTACGCGTTAAAATCTGTCGTAGCGAAAGGGTTAATAATAAAAGTCATTGTGTTCACATTCGAATACGTAGTATGATTTCCTCCTGATACAAAAATAGTTTGAAAATGGTGCCTATTGCGTCTGGCGAAGGGTAACACTATTACACGGGAAAGTATCAATGAAAATCAACTGATACGTAAAAAATCAATGAAATATCCGATTAAATGGAAGAAAGTGCAGTGAATTTAACGCTGCAAGATGTTTGCTAATCGTTCAACTTTCGTCATATATGGTATCGATCCTTTCAATTATGTGTTCATTTAATTCCAGCGTTGGCGTAATTACACCGCATCGGCAAATTTAATGCACGTTTTTAGCGGAGTTTTTATTGCCGGTTGCATCGCGTTTCGATCGTGAATTTCTTGTGACTCAATATCAGGATATATGACGCGGGTCAAAGAAACGGTAGCATCGCATCGTTAGATGCGCCAACATCCGAGCGAAAGGCTGCGCAATCTTATTTTTCATCCGCGGACAGGATAACGTGTGCAGGCTACCACGAGGATGCTGCAGTCCAATCTGAAAATATATTGCAGAAATATACGATGTTAACAACGTTGCCGCATAGACCGATGGTGGAATAGTTAGCGACTGGATATCCGTGACAGGAGAGAGTAAATCTGAGCGGTAGCTAGTTACTTGATCGTGGTTCGCCTCGATGCTGACACGAATAAGTGAAATGAAATTCATTGATCGAAGATCGTTCGTATCGGGTGTTAATCGAAACTTACGGTATCGGACTTATTTTATTCGGACAGATGATGTTTGCTTTTTTTTTCTTTTTTTTTCTTTTTTTGTAACTTATCGAACATTCGACTGTACAGAGATGTAATTTATTGAATGATAATATAATGAAATATAAGAATGACAAATTTTGACAATTTTTCAATCTATCATATGTATAGAGGTATAGAGATATAATTTATTGAATAGTTTGTACAGCAAAGAATGACAAATTTACAATCCCTGAACGATTTTAAGGGACTGTAACATTTGTGTTTCACCATTACTGAAACGTTATTTCCCGAAGTTTATTTATTTGCATTGTAGGCACCCTCTTACCTATTAACAATAAGAATAGTATTAACGTTAATTAAGTGGCACATCAAATGGAATACTCGAATGTTCGAAATGTACGAATAATATTCGGAACAGTCTGAAATTTAAACACTACGGATATTCGAATATTCGAATTATTCGAATAGTTGAACTATTCCAAGTTAAAAACCAAATTCTACTGGTATTCGAAAATTTGAGTACACCGAATATTGAAATTATCATGAGATCTTCCACGCAAAACTGTAGAGTATTGAAATCCGGATTCTACTGCCATTCGAATAGTTGAACTATTCCAAGTTGAAAACCGAATTCTACTGGTATTCGAAAATTTGAGTACACCGAATATAGAAATTATCATAAGATCTTCCACGCAAAACTGTAGAGTATTGAAATCCGGATTCTACTGCCATTCGAATAGTTGAACTATTCCAAGTTAAAAACCAAATTCTACTGGTATTCGAAAATTTGAGTACACCGAATATAGAAATTATCATAAGATCTTCCACGCAAAACTGTAGAGTATTGAAATCCGGATACTACTGCCATTCGAATAGTTGAACTATTTGAATACACCGGATATTCAATTTTTCTTGAGATTTTCCAAGTAAAAATGCAGAGTATTAAAATTCAGATTCTACCGACATTCCAGTATTCGTATTTTCTTGAAATCATTCTTGAGATCTCTGCCTCAAAGATGCAGAGTGTCATCGACTGTAGGTTGTTTGATTCTAATCCGTGATCGTACAGATTTTCCTCTTCCACATCTTTATTATTCCCGCAATAAAATAACGCATGATTTCTTATATTTGTAATAAAATTGGGGACCACAGTTAAATGAATTTATTCGTCAAACTTCGAGGATACGTATTGCTCGTCTCGTAGAGGAAATTAGACGTATAAGGAGGAACAATGAACGCGGGAGTTAACTAATAACTTGCAGAAGTTGAGAAATATGAAATTGTGATGAATTTTCTTAGTTCAAATAATACATAGATGCGAGGAATCTAATTTAAGTAATAGGTCTTCTTAAGTACATAATTTGTAAAAGTAGCCGGTAGCCCTTTAAATTAATCACAGTCAATTCGTTATATAACGTTGGCCATTTCTTAATCTGCACGGAATTGATAATTGATTTACATGCACCACGCTAGCTATTCGTCGATAGCACTTTGTACAGTGTTTTAATGGATTAACGCGTTGAACGCAATACCTCCCTGTTCCGCAAATGTGAATGTAAAAGTGAAGCAACGCAACGAAGACGAGTAGGTAAAAGGTTCGTAATCGCAATCGGCATCCGCGAAGTGAAGCACGTGCAAGAATGAAAGTACTTTGTAGGAAACGGTTACGCGAAAGAGAGCAACGAAATGGTATTATTGAAAGACCGATTCGAGTCCCGGAGAAGTTTAATTCTTCATCGTAAACGTGATATGATCAAGAAAACGGACGATTAATTTAACGAAGTTAATTTAAACTTAAGAAAGTTCGAACGGTTATGTTATTATTTTCATCTTTCATCACTTTGACGCTTGGATCGATATTCGTTTATTTATGTCGATGATTTTCAGGACTAGGTTAGAGTGAATAATAAATTAGAATATTACTTCTTTCAGATATTTATTCTCATTTTATAATTAATTATCATTTATGACAGGATGCGTACGTATATATGTAAGTGCCTGTATTATATGCTTGTTGCATATTTAAGTATTAAAAGACGACGTACAGTATAGACTTAACATCTTGTGGGATTTTTTGTCCGCGACACGAGGGCCGAGAGGACCCTTACCATTTTCGTGTCGCTCCCAACGTTACCGCTTCAGCATAGAATAAGATTACAGCATTGGTAGTGTTTGGAATTAGAGCTAAATGTAAATATGAAATAACAAATAAGAAAGTAACATAATTATTTTTAGTTCTACCCACGCAATCAAATATATAGTGCACACATAATCATGTCTGGGACGCTATCATTCTGCGTTTACCTCCTGACCCAATATCGACCGTTTCGCCCGATGCAGGTCTTAAAATGACCGACCGTTCTTAAGAGTAGAGTGCGCTTCAAAACCAATAATTTCGGACGACGTCGGTACGAAAGATACATATTTATATATGTACATTGCTACTGCGTTGTCAATACACCCTTGAATCCCGAAACGCAAATGCGTGTGACTGAATCCATTCTGATTCATCTTAAGTTTCGAGATTTGTGTCTCCTTCGTTATATGAAATAACAGATGCTTATCAGTATTCTTAATTTCAATTCCTACTCTACTAATAAAGCAGTGATATTATACCAGTATCAATCGATACAGTAGAATGTAACACGAAAATGATAACGGTGATCTAAGACCCCAAGGTCATCAAACACAAAAAAATATATGAATTGGATAAGTACTCTATATCTCGTTTGTGGATGCATGCATAATGAATACAGTAAAATAAAGTATCAACTTTAATTTCCAGTACATCAATTATAGAATAATTAGTGTTTCTTGTTAAAGAACAATTTATATGGTTATATATAATTATTGGAAGCCTTAAAATTATTATATGCTTCAACTTAATAAAACAGCTTAATATATTAATTTTTCATTGAATTAACCATTGTATTCAGT